ATTGATGTTGGATTAGACTTGGTTCTTATGGAATTTGTAATATATATATATATATATATAATTGGACGTTCTATATTAATTATTTGGATGGTTGGAACTGACATGTGTGCACGTGGTTGAATGTTTGATAATATATTTAGCGTTGATGGATTATATTGTCTATACAAGGTACAAGTTGTATTAATAATGGATAAAGGTTGTTTAGAAAAAAAAATCGAAAAAAAAAAAACACGTTAAAGCATTTGGCTACCAAATGTTTTGGTAGCCAAATAGGTAATTAAAAGTTTTGGCTACTAATAATTTAGTAGCAAAAACATAACCCAAAACGTTTTTGCCACCAAATAATTAGTAGCTAAAAGATTTGAGAATGAAAGAAAGAAGCTATTGGTGACTAATACTTTAGTGGCGGAAACATACCTTTTGCCGACTAAACTAAGATTAGTAGCCAAATGTGTACTTTCGGCGGCCAATTATTTAGTAGCTAAAAGTGATACCTTCCCCGACCACAACAAGTTAGTAGCCAAAAAGCCTCATTCGGTGACTAATACTTTAGTGGCGGAAACATACCTTTTGCCGACTAAACTAAGATTAGTAGCCAAATGTGTACACTTTTGGCGACCAAACAAATTTTAATCGCCAATACTATCGCCGACAGGGTAAAGGCGACGAGCTTAGCGACAAAAAATTTTGGTAGCTAAACACTTTCGGCAACTAAATAAGTGACTTTTGCCGACCAATATTTTGGTAGCCAAAAGTGACATTTCTTGTAGTGTTACATTGAGTTCAACCTATAGAAATGAAGGATTTCACGGAAGAAAGGGTCAAGTGGAAATCTAAGTCCACACTCAATAAACGCTACTACTGAGAAAGGCATAAGGTTTACATCGGGCATGATAGAGTCATCATCCCCAGCCAACCTCAGATGGACGTTGACAGGAATGGAAAACTCTCGCCTAAAGTATTCTAATTTTGTCGGGGTGTCTACCTTATGTTTCCACATACCCATGATATCGGCCTAAGCTAGGAGGAATAGGATTTCAGAATAAAGGTGTTTTAAAAGGGTTTAAATGACCTCGGCTAAAAACCTAAAAATGTACTGTGGTAAGGGTTTGTATGGATCTAAAAAGAGTTCGTTTCAGTTTTTCCTAAAAACTTGTGGGCTCTACAAGCAAATCCCAAAACCTCACTCTATGGAAGCAAGGTTGGAGGCAGAAATCTAGAAAAGACACAGAAAATAGAAAACAAGAACGTGTTTCAGAATCAAGAACGAGGGTGAACTACCAAGAACACTGTGACAGAGTGTGTGAAAGGGTACAAGGTCAAGAACAGTTGTAAAATTGCAGAAAAATTGTGAGCAGTGTGTGCTTTCAAGACATGAGCAAGGGCAAAATCGTGAAATAAACACATTCAGATGCATGATTCATAAATCAAATGTTTGAGTAAAACAACAATGACGACTAATGATAAAGTAAAATTTCATGAAAAAGCAACAAGAAATAAAGAACCAGGAGGAACAGTGGCTTGCCAGAAAGAGGGAAGCCGAAATGGGATTTGCCGAAGTTTGACGACGGTTGCAGAGACGGAAGATCGGTGGAAATCACGTCGGAGGTGATAAATGAAGCAAAGTCGCAGATCTCAGAAAGCTTGTGTAATGGCAAACCAGAGGAAGAGAGCTAGAGAGAGAAAGAGCTAGAGGATTGAACAAACAGTGAAACGACGAAGAGAGGGAAAAAGTTTTTGTTAAAACTTGAAACGGCAGCAGACGGAATTAATGCGCCTAAAACAATGTGAGCATCAGACAGCGCATGCATGCGCGAGACGATTTAGAAGCACGTCACAAGCACGATCCAGTAAGAGGGAAGTACGTGGTTAGAAATGGTTGAGTTGTTATGCATGACAGCTCATGCGCGTGAAGAAGTTCTTGGAAATCTTAATCTTTAAGAAGACATGTCGACCTAAAGTGATAATCTCGGCTTACGCCGATATACTGGCAGGAAGTACCGATATAGGTTCCATCACCTCAGAATGCCGAGGTAATAGAACCTAGGGGCAGTTGTGGGGATATATTTTCAGAATACCAACACGTGGCCAAGGTGATGCCGACGTGTCAGCCGAGGTTCCACGTGTCCGGGGTCATGAGGCCGAGGTGATCTCGGCAACGCCGAGGTAATCTCCGAAGATATCGGAATCCGAGATAAACGAATAAGGGACAAGAGTCCTAGAATGACGAAGGACTTTGGCATGGATAAGGATAAAACTTTTAGGGAGTTTATCTTTATCTCTTGAAGAGTCCAGGATAAGCACTGAGCAAGAGTCCATTGAAGCTAGGCTTCTAGTAGGACAATGATTGAGTTAATTATAAAAGAGAGGCACCCCCATAGGTCTAAGGTATGCAATTTATATTATGAATAGTAAAGTTTAGCACTATTGATTATCTTTGAGAGATATACTGACTTGATCGTCGGAGTGCCCCCGGGTGGACCAACCACCGCTGGAATCTTCTCTTTCTATTGTAGGTCAGGTAGGTGTCATCTATTCTACCAGTTCTCTCCAGCTGAATACTGAGTTGGGCAGTGTGATCGGAAAATCACTCACACAATGTACAATATGAATATTTGAAAAATCATGATTAACACAATGAGAACATGCAAAAAAAGATGTAATCAAAACCCAAATATCATACGATGTGAAGAACAACAACTTAAAATATTGTACAAGGAAACAGATGTTATGTGTTTCACATTGCTACACATTCATACTTTATCAAAATTTCACCTATGTTATTTCATGTTTTCACAATCGAAATTGAGGATTTCAAAATAAAAACCATACAACCATTCACGATATGATATTTTACATTTGGTATTGGTAAGTCATTACAAATTTGGCAACTAGGGTAAAAAAAAAAAAAATACCAATTGACTATGTTTGGTACCCATTTCCAACTACATAGAATGACCAACAAAGTTAATGTGAATGATCGTAGCAAGAAAGTGTTTTGGTCACCGAGGACGAAACATCAAAGACAGAATGATGCAAAGATGGGTGTAGAAGATGGATGACTATTTTCAATGATTATAGCACACGGACGAAATCAAATTCAAGTCAATGATCTGCTGTGATTCTGCACTCTGCTGTTAGTCTTTGGGGGTGGGTGAGGGTATCAATGTGGAGATGGTTGTGGCTTAGGCTGCTGATGCTCAATTCTACTCAGGCTCACTTCATGCTACTGCTGCTTGATCTGCTCCTGGGCTCTGCTGTTAGTCCCGAAGCATTGCTGTTAGTGTTGAGCAGTACCAAACCTATAATAAGTCTGTCTAATGCTCCAGCAGAGGAGTGTTTTATTGAAAATCCATGAATGATATTGTTATATTTATTTTGTGTGTCAAAATAAATGGATGTTTGGAAAATTTTTTATTTATATTTATATAAATAATGAATTTCCTGGAATATGAGAATTGTTGTTCATTTTGAAAATTATTGTTCAAACATTGAAATAGTCTTAAAATGATTAATTGTTGAGAATACTTGAGAAGAGGGAATTGTGTTATTCCTTGGATGATGAATTAGAATAAAAGTATTTATATTCATCTTGTGAAATTGGCATATTAATTCATTTGATTACATTAAACTTTGAAAGTTGATTTGAAAACTTGCATTGCAAACACCGACCTAGGGATTACTAGAGTCGTATTTACCGCTCTTGAAATGAATTGTTAAGTTTTGAAGAATTGAAATTGCATGACATCATCGAGCATGAGGGTTTTCAAAGTTGAAGATGTGATTTTCTTTCAAAAGAGCATAGCATGGCATGTGCATTTTATGTCTTGAGACTTGTATAAAATGTATATACTTTGTTAAAAAATTCTTACTGGGCTTTACATTCACTCTACGGGATTTTTGTGCAGAAAAAGATGTGGTGATGTCGCCTAACTAAAGGCAAGGAAATGTGTGTTGAGAGTACGAGACTTTCATTTTGCTGTGACTCTATGTGTAAGCCAAGGACTGTATGTGTGTGGGTTTGAACAACCGTTTTGTGTAACCAGGCTTAAGCCTTAGAAACTTATAAACCCTTAGGGGTATTTATTTGTTTATTTACTTCTTGTTGGATTAATGTATTGTTGCATGAAGAACTATTGTATCATGTAATGTAAGTTTGGAGATTTATATTCGGATTTCCTTGAAAGAGTCATGATTGTTGTAGAATCATTTGGGCTAGAAATCTGGGACGTTACAAGTTGAGGGATTCTTTGATCCATGGGAACTGCTATTGTTGTAGGTTATCTGTTAAAGTGGATAATGGAATCTAGAGTCAAAGAGAGAGAAATTGTAGAGAGAGTTCTGGAGAGTATTAGAGAGAAACTCTAAGACAAACTCAGAAAAATATCTATTACAAATGATTCAAAAGTTGGTTTCTTGAATGAAGCAGTATGTAAACTTTTAAGAAATGCTTACTGGTGCCTAAAGTACTGGAAGGTCAACGTGTTGTAGATACCTTGGTCATTTTCATCTTTTCTTGTTGTTCATAATCATAATAATCCATGCTAGCAGTTTGGTTGGCAATATGATGTCTTATAATCTGTTCAACTGCTACAGAGAACCTGTGTAGTGACTATTTGATTTATTACATCTGAAAGAATTGACTTGCTGTTTGTAATCATCTTGATATATCAACATAACTGAAATCCGAGCCAAAAGAAAAGTTAAAAAATAAGAAGATAAAATCACCAACTTCATTGAAAAGCATACTTTATATTTTACCTTTTTGGTGCTATGAACTCAAATTGATTTGTATTTATCTTTCAGCTTTTTACTGATGATCTATAAACCTACTAAAACCTACTAATGTTTTATTTTGACAAGTTTGAGAATTGTGGCATCATTTACGTTTCTACAGATAATAATTTAGACTTGAATCTTGATTACACAGGGCTTAATTTTGGCACCAGAATTGATAGATGGGGCTCCTTTCGCTGCAGTTTTGTGTTAGAGGTGTGTCTTTTTGTGGTTTCCTTTTGGACATTTTGTAGTAATATATACTTATAATGTGATTCCTCATAAATTAAGTTGCTTTGTTGCTTGGTATTGAGGCCTACGAGTGTCTTTTGTTCATTAGTTCATGGTAAAATTACAATCATGATTATAGTTTTCTGCCTTATAATTCTTATGTATAGTTGGCTGCCGTGCATGGAAAGCGTTATATATTGCACTTGAGATGCCTACCCTCGATGCTCATATATCAAACAAGTTACAAGATGAATTGTCTTCCACTTTGAAACTCGTTAACTTCTAGCCAAGAGTCAATTCTTGTTGAGAAGACCATGAGAAGAGGATACGATAATGTAGAGAAGGAAAAGGAAAGGAAAAGAATGGAATGAGACATTGGGGTGGAAAATCAATACACATGCGTACACCCCCCCTACAAACACACACAGTTTTGGAGTTGGCGCTTCTTTTCAATTGAGATAAACATAAGACATATTAGTAGTGTTTTACCTGTCATACATTGGCCAACCAATTCATCCTTCTCACTACTTGTCTTGTGCCATTATATTTTATCACTGGGTTAGTTGCAAGCCTTTAAGTCTTGGTTGTTTGATTTGCTGCCTGTTTATCTCAATCCAAGCAATATTGTCGTACTAGTTTATGCTCAAAATAATCTGCCTTGAGAATTTTCTTATCCTTATTTCCTGTTTTGATTTTCTTTTCTTAGTTTAATTTTAATATCTAGGAAGCATCAACATGATACAACACTTTTGAAACTTCTATTCTTCAATCCGAGAAAAATATTATTCATGGTTGGATAATAAGGAAGAGAGAGGCAGCTAACTTTGTGACACCCTGAAAATGAGTAGAATATTTCTTCTGAAATCTTTCGATCATGCCCTTCCCTTCCTCTTGCAAGCTGGTTATGGGATAATCTTTTGATGGCCCAGCTCACATGCACTGAAGGCACTGCCAATATCCAAATAGCTTCCTTTGTAGGTTAACAAATTCATTAAGGACGGAAATAAATAGGAAGATGCCTTTTCATTATAGAAGCTTTTTCAAGACCTACATTTGGTTGTTTCCTTTTGGTAAGGTTTATAGTTCTGCTGTCACCTGCTTCTCCATTTACTGGTTATATCACTAGAATTATCCTCCCAAGAAGATGTCTTTTTTCAATTTGTCATGCGTTCCTATCTTGATATCTTTGCAATTACAGCATGAGATGGCAGTAGAGAGTGCAAGGATTTTTGATATGGATTGTTATTATCAAACTCTGATTTTTGCTAGAAGGATTTCTGGGATGGGTGGGACACATATGCTCAAGAAGGTAAAGTTCTTGCTCAAAGAAGTATCCTTTATTTTGCAACATATACATTCATCATTTATTCAGAACTCACACTCCACTCTTCTGTTCATAATCAGTTTTGAACGTGCTTTTCTAGATTAACTTGACTGATCCAAATCAAAATGAAGACATAAAACTTCCTTCAAATACAAAAGCTGTTAAAGATCTACATGTCTCCCCTTGTGGGAGACTTGTACTTTTAGCTTCGATGGGTAAAAAATGATCAATTATTAGGTATACTTACTGTCTTTTCTTTTTGTCATGAAGATATTAGTTTTTCTACACTTTCTTTCGGAGTTTAGCTGACTCAGTTTCTTCTATTGTTTCAGCATGGGCTGCAACAAAGTTGTCATCAGTTATAGTTTACCGGTAAAAGTTTGTTACTTCTTGTTTACTTGTTTATGGATATATCTTTACTCATGCTCCTTTTTTTTCTTTTTCTTTTTTTCTTTTTTTCAAGTTGAGCATAGTTCTTCTGTTTTGAAGTTCCAATTCCTGTGAAAATAATGAACCCTTCCAGTTTATTTGGCAGTATCTTGCAAAGTTTCATCTTGTCAGTTGAAGTACTGTCTGATGCAGTACCTATTGCATATCAGTATAACTAGGGGACCATAAGATACCAGTCCCAAAAATGAGTAATTAGTCCTAGATGACACTGAAATTTAATTGTTACAAATTTGTCCTACCTATGATGAAAAGTAGGAGTGCCAAGGTCCATTTTATTTACTTTTTTCGTCTCCCACTTCTTATTCTTCAGTGGCTGAAACCCTTTGCCCTCAACTTGTTGGCAAATTTTATGGTTTTGGATTAATCTGGACAGTGTCTGGAAAAGGTAAAACTAGATCAGCTAAGTTACAATACCAAAATTTAATGGAAAATTTGGCGAGGTTGCTATTATGAGAGTCTGATTTATGGCACAAAAACTGGGATAGTCACAAAACAATTCCTAGGATTGAGCTCAGGTGAACAGGAGGAATTTATGTGAATGAGTTCTATTACAAGAGAGCCATTAAGAGATCATTCCATCCATGGAAGGCAACATACTAGAGCAATCATGGATGAAAGGGAAGCTAGTCATCTAGCATGGTTTACTAATGAAGAAGTGCAACATGAAGAAGTGGTTTGATGTATGCTGATGGAGTTGCAGGGATGGGAAGAAGAGCAAAAAAAGGTCAATACCCAATGTTAGGGGTGGGCGCGGGTCGGTTGCGGCCACGGAACCTCCAATCCGCCATCCGTCCGCCAGATTGGCGGATTGGAGAAAATCAATCCGCTTAATCCTATACCCGAACCAGGTTCTCACAGCAACCAATGGCCCATTGAATAAATAAAAGTACAAAAAATACGGTTTAAACATGGCCATTCAAAGACATAATGTCCATAATTCAACAGAAGTATAGCATTAGCTTGATTGGAATGATGGACAAATGATCCATGCAGCTAGCCCCAAAGATTCTGGGCATTGAACACAATGGTCTGTCAGTCTAATTAAATATTGGTAATGTTCAATATGGTGTCAAAAAGATCAAATTACATAGGTTTGAAGCTTCGAAGTGTTTGGGTAAAAAAAAGGTGGCTTGGTTGACTAGGTTGTTTAGCAAAATTTTGTTGACTAGGAACATGCCATATGAGTGGAGGAAGAGTATTTTAGTGCCAATCTATAAGAATAAAGGAGATGTCCAGAATTGTAACAACTATAGATAAATCAAATTAATGTATCATATAATGAAAGTGTGGGAGAGGGTGATGGAACGCTGATTGCGAGATATAACAGAGGTGTAGGAGAATCAATTTGGGTTTATGCCTGGCAGGTCAACAATGGAAGCGATCTATCTGTTGAGGAGAGTAATAGAAAAGTATAGAGAAAAGAAAAGAGACATTCATATGGTGTTTATCGACCTTGAGAAAGTATATGATAGCGTGTCTCGAGATATAATATGGTGGGTGTTAGAGAAGAAATGGGTGACAAAAGGTTACATTGATGTGAGTAGGGACATGTATGAAAGGGTGGTGACCACTATTAGATCGCCTGCTGGAGAGAAAAATGAATTTCTTTTCACTGTAGGGTTATACCAAGGATCTACCTTAAGTCCTTATCTTTTTGCGTTAATTATGGATGAGTTGACGAGAAATATTCAGGATGACATGCCATGTGTATGCTTTTTGTAGATGATATCGTGTTAGTGGATGAGACTAGAGAGAGAGTTAACGCGAAGTTAGAGATTTGAAGAAAAGCACTTGAATCTAAAGGATTCTGGATAAGCAAAACTAAGACAGAGTACAATCCCAACTTATCAATCAGATTTTCACCTTCACCCCTTCCTCTTAAATTACTTTTTATTAGTGTCCACACCAATTTTAGGGCACTTAACGCTTTTAGCAACCCTTTATTGTAAACTTTGAAGGTTTGGAGGATCTGACATTTGGGACATGCACCCGTGCCAAGTTCATTTAATGTAGGAATTAACGGATTCATTGATTGAAATCAGAGGGCCAAAATTCCATGTAGATGTAAGGGGTGTACTGAATAATAGAAAAACCAACAAAAGAAGTAGTGGCTTCCTAACCGTCATGCCTTCCAATAAAAAAGTGCTTTTTAGAAAAAATATTTCAAGCTAGCAATCAACAAAATACCAATGATAGAAGTTGCAGAGCCTAACCATCTGATGGCTTCCAATGAAAGGTGCTTTTGAGCTTAACTGTTTCAAGCAACAATCAGAAGTTACCACATTCCTAACATTTGTACATTATGCAATAAAATTCTCCTGATATCTCCAGTTTCTTAATGTCTGGTACTAACCTACTATTAGGGACCAACTTAAAAGCTGAAAAGAACAATCTATCTGACATAGATGAGAGAGAATGAATGCCCACATTTCACTTTCCAAGTGAATTAAAGAAGTAGATGGCTCACTTATTGCACCGTCTTTCATGCATTACGTCTATTTGGCAGCATAATCCATCAATTGGTTGATTGTCAAGCACTATATTTTCAAATACCCGCCCAATAGTCCTTTGATCTTCATGGTAGGACCTATCATTATACTTTCAAGTCACAAAATTATTCTGCAGACTTCCTTTTTTTCCTAAGGAAACCTTATAGCCATATATGGTGTGATCCATAAGAGTTAGTAGTCTAATACCCATAAGAATCAGCAGTCTAATACCAGTGAGCCTACTCCTTGGGAATGCAGATGAAATTCCAATCTACTTGTTGGAGATCGAAGCTAAACTTACACTGGCTTATACATATTACTTATAAACCACACAAAAGACAAAACCTGAGAAAGGATAGTCTTCTAAAAGGATTTTTTTTTTTGGTTTGAAGAATTGTTGTAATTCCGAGGAGAAAGGCAGCATTTAGAAATGAGTTACCCAAGCTGAGTAGGGACAAAAGAGATTAAGGGAGTTGTGATTGGACAGTGTCCTCTTCCAAGATGGCCTCTTTTTGGAAATAACAAAGCTAAACATATCTGATTTTTGTGGTGCACATAGCCCCAAAAGAATATTCCTTCATGACTCTGATATTTGGTTATATTTATGATAGATGGAATGAAACTCTATAGAAATTTGTTGGAGTTTCTCATGATCTTTCAACTGCTGTTTAGATGAGTCTTTTTTTTTTCCTATATAAAAGAATTATGATTTCTTACACATAAGCATGCACACGGGTGCGGTTCTCCTTCCGCAGCCAAAAAAAAGGAAAAAACATACGAAAACATAAATTGCTGAAGAGTTGATTCAGTCATTATTGGTCTGTGGTAGAACTACCCCTTCACTCGCCTCAAAATTGTTAAGAGCTTCCATATATTTACAATCTTGGAATTTTGAGAAAAATAAAAGAACGTAAAAAAATAAAAAAGTAGTTGTATCAATTATTTTTTTTCTTTATTGTTGTCATTCTTTAGTCTCCACACCTGTTGTCTAGTTTGAAATTCTTAAATATTCTATTTCAGGGCCCAGCTTGGTCATGCTCATGGGATCCCAACAGTTCACATTACATGTATGCTGGCTTACAGGTTTGATCTTTAACTCTCCGCATTGTTTTATATCAAAAAATATGGTTAGCCTGCCTTTGAAGTATGCTTCACAGGTCTCTGTTTTTACCATTTGTAGCTGCTTCGAGAGTTTTTAGCTGTTAAATAATTTTGTAGAGGACTCATCTTATGCATTATATTATATTGAAACTCTGGGTCTTGATAATAATTTCATCTCATTCCTAAAAAAATCCTTTTTTTCCCCCAGTTAATTGATTCACAATAATGATATCATTGCCATAAAATTTGATCATTTGTTTGGAACCTTGTAGGCTTATAGCATTTTCCAGGTCATTATTTTACCATTTTGGTTTTGCAGAACGGCATGCTTTTGGTGTTTGATATGCGTCAGACAGTACATCCTGTTCAATCCATCAATGGACTAAGCTCGCGACCCATTCATACTATACACTCTTTTGAACATAAACCCACTCTTTGTCACGGTGCTAGTCTCCTTACTGCTTCTGCAATTGGCCCATGTGTGTGGAACACTAGTGGTGCCAAAGAAAGGTTGGTTTATACAGACTTGTGGTATATTCTGTTAGTATTTACAAGTGATTTGTGTTTCCTCATTCCATTTAATTTTCTTTCTGTTTTTTCTTCATATATTAATATTCATCAATTCGGTGCCATTCTTCAATGATGCAATATTGTTAGTTACTCCTGCCCCGCGCTTGAAATTTTCTGTTTGAGCTGTCTGACGCCAACCATTGGGGAATAATCAGTGTCTTTTTGGCAATTATACTCCTTTACTTTTTGGTAAGTTAGCAACTGTATTTCAACCAAGGTGGAGTGGAATCACTGAACTGAAATGAAGTGTGGTATTGTGGAGGATGGTGCTTCAAGGGATCCACATCATTATGAATGTTCACTTGACATTGATGCCAAAGGTCTTTTATTTCTCAAAAAAAGGTTTATAGGTGCACTCTTAAGGTAGAGAAACTCATTTTTAATTTTTTTTTACCAATGAGAGTATTGAACAGTTTGGAGATTTAATTTCAAAAGTGTAGGTTTTGGCTAAGGTTGATAAAAAGGTGGAAGAGAAGAGCTTTGACTGTAGTGAGCTTCTGGAGTTTGGTAAAGGGTAAGGAGGAGAAGTAAAAAGGGGAGAAAAAAAAAAGTCCTCCAGGAATGAGGATAAACTTAGTAGGCTTCAATGTTTGATTAATTATGATAAACAAAATGGGTGTGAGGCTATAAAAGGGCAATGTGGGAAGGAATAAGTATTAGTACTTCTTTTTATGGGTGATCCTATTTGCACACTACACTTTGTCTCAGTACACACCATTTATGTCTTCGGATATCAACTTCTGAACAAAATGCAAATGTTTGGATTTCTACTTCCGAACAAAATACAAATGTTCAGATATCAACTATCGAACAGAATTTGTGTTCGAACAATTGGCTTTTGTTCGGAAGTTGATATTCAAACATTTTACTTTTGTTCAGAAGTTGATATCCAAACGGCACAAATGGTGTGTACTGAGATAAAGTATGGTGTGCGAATAGAATTACCCTTCTTTTATTTTTTCTTTTTTTTAATCTTCATGGAAGAGTTCAGGAAGCAATTCAAAGGAAAAGTATCTTGATATCAAGTCTGTTGTTATTATCCAGAAGGCGGGAGGAGATAAATGGAAATTAATGAAAGAAGATGAGAAAGCTTTTTTGTGTGTGAATTTAGCACTATTTTGAAATTCATTTGTTGGTTGTGGATGTATTTGGGATTGAATTATGGATTTGGTTTTACCTCTGTTTTTTCATTTGTTTGTTGTGGATTCATTTGTTTGTTTTTACTTGTTAGTTATAGAGGTTGTTCCTCCTCAAAACGTTCTCTAAAGCAATTCCCTTTTTATTGCTGATCGAAAACTATAGCTGCTATAATGGTCATGTTATTGTTCAACTAGAATATGTGAACACTAAAGGAACTTTCAACTAGAGTTTGCCTTATAATTGGATTATGTTTTGCAGATTGACACTTTTACCAATTAACCCATCACTCATCAAACTCCTTGACTATCTCCCTTTCAGCATAATCATCATAAGAAGGTGCCAACTAGCTTAGCTGGCTTAGCTGGAGTCTCTCAGTATCGTACCAGACAACCAGAGACCTTGAGTCGAGTCCCACCTTCATCTGGCTTGAGGGATTCATAGGCAGGGAGGGCTACCCCCTACTCTGTATTCTGTTGACATTGGACCAAAGATGATGATAATAATAGTAAAAAAATATATCTTGCAACAGAGCTGCAAAAAAAAAAAAAAAAGGGATAAAAAAAAGTGGGTGCACCTATAATTTTAAACGTGCCACTCAACATAACTTGGTAATACTAATATATCAATATAAAAAATGAGAATAGTAGTGCTTTATATGGTTGTTTATGTGAAATATGTTATGGTTTATATTCTGGTTATTTAGTTTAGTCATTAAGGGTAGTTTAGTCTTATTATCTGTAATTAGGTTATTATTCATTCAATACATGCGTATATTTTGCTCTCATCCTTGTATCAATTTAAAATTGTATTATGTTAACATTGGGCTCATTTACATCATGCAGTAGAATCTGACGCATCTAGTTCAGAATGCATGAGGTTTCTTGTCATTTGGTGAGGGAAATAAAAAGAAAGAAGTCACATGTTCAATAGTGCGATAGGTTGGGTCTGGCCCTGATGTTTTTTTTCTTTTGGATTCTGGCATGAAACCGTACAATGCTTATACACAAAGGACACCAACAATGATTACATTTATTAACTGAATTGTGAGTTTTTTTATTTTTTTTGTTTTTTGTTTTTTGTTTTTTTTTTTTTTGTTTTTTTTTTTTTTTATATATATATATTGAGTTATTTATATATACATATATTTATATATATATAAATATATATATCAGGTTATATTTATATATATGTCAGCATATATATCTATATATATTTATATATTAAGTGTGTGAGATACCAGAGTGACGGGCTGAGGCGAAGCAGGGCGATGTCGACAGAGAGAGGCGAAGACGACAAGGGCGATGGCGGCTGGAGGAGATCGACGGGCTGAGGAGATCGACGGGCTGAGGCAGGAAGACGAAGCAGACGAAGCAGACGACCAGACGAAGACGAAGCAGACGAGCTGAGGGACGAAGACGAAGCAGACGAAGACGATCCAGACGAAGATGAAGACGACAGAGGATGGCTGGAGGAGATCGACCTAGCAGATGATCCAACTAGGTACGTTTTGAACCCTAACCCTAGAGGTGTAGCTCTGATACCATGAAGCTTGGGTAACCAGCTTAGGGAATGATAGAATATCACCCCTTATTTATAGATGAAGATTAGGGTTTACAAGGAAGGCAATTTACAAGATGATCCCTGAGTGCTATCCCTGAGTGCAAAAAATGATTACAGACAAACCCTAGTGTACCTTTCGGCTAATATAATATGCTAACACTCCCCCTCAAGCTGGTGCGAAGATATCTCTCATGCCCAGCTTGCCTAATATGTCATGAAATGGTTTATTCCCAATCCCCTTGGTGAGAATGTCAGCAAGTTGTTCACCAGACTGGACAAAAGGAGTACAAATGGTACCACTAGTGAGTTTCTCCTTAATGAAGTGGCGATCAATCTCAACATGTTTTGTCCTGTCATGTTGAACTGGATTGTGAGCGATGTTGATGGCGGCCTTATTATCACAGTATAACCGCATGGAGTCCGTCTGATCAATACCTAGATCACGCAACAATAATTTGATCCATAAAAGTTCACACACACCTGCGTGTCAATTATCATTTTAACATCCAGGATTTTACTGCATGGATGATGAGGTATGCTTTAAATAATTAAACAAAATCTGGTGGGGCTTTAATTCATCCAGTGGGTTATCTTTCAATCCATGTAGTTAACACCCCAGGATTACAAATGAGGTGAGCCTCAAAATGAATAGCTGTACTACATAAAATTGATGGAAAACATGGTTATATAAAATATTTTGCATTATTCACTAATATGCCACTAGCACCCCCTAGAAAGATTTCTAAGCAAAATGATGTTAATAATAATTTTTATAATTGTAATTTATTTCTTCAGGAGTATACTACATACAAGTTTGGAAAATTGATTAGTTTGATTGTATGAATAATGGATAACCAAAGTTTTAGGAGGGGAAGTAAATGATGATAACTTCATGGGTGAAAAAGTTCATGAAGAGTTTTATGAAATTGGTGGCTGATCCGCATTGTCTATCCATGTAGATAGCATGGATTGAAAGGGAGCCCCACTCATTTGGATCTCTTGGTTTTATTCTATTGCCAAAGGTGAATTAAATAGATGGAGGGTCTTGCACTTTGAAATTAGAATGACTTGGTGGAACCATCACCATGATCCATCCAATGTACAATTCAATCTAGGTGGTCCATGTGGTAGGATGATGTCATGTGGGCCAAAAAATAATTTTTAGTAGTATATAATATATATCAAGAAAACAATTTCATGATGTATTGCATTGTTAAATAATTATATATATCATAGTGTATAGTTTGGCACTTTTTGATGATGTTATATGTATAAGTTGTTGTGTTACATGAACTCTATTTTTTTTTTTTTTTTTTAAATCAAAGTACTGTGTCCATTGAATATGTCAAGGGTAAGGGTGGTAGATATGTGTTTGATATTTGTACCCAATTTAGATACTTGGATCCTCAATTTTTTTTTATGATAATTGAAAAAGATATTCACATTTGCTAATAAAGAAACATTTCTAGCCTTTCACATAAATGAGAGATAAGAAATTTTATATTTTTCATAAACCCTATTTAATTTGGGATTTTTGGCCAAAACCCCCTATTAGTGAAAAGGACAAGCAAAAAAAATATTGTTGGCAAAACCCCCTTACGATTAAAAAATTAAGGTGAAAGACTAAAATACCCCTCATATATATAGCATATAAGAGGCAGTTGAAGAGGACAAACCGACAATTCGAATAGTTGTCCCTGTTGATACACTATGTTCCAAAACCCTCAACTGAAAACCCTAGTTCAAACCAGAGATTGAAGCTCCATTGTCATCTATTTGAGATATATTGAAGGAGTTCATCACTCTACCATCGAAAAAACGAGTCATACGAGGTAAATCGTGCTTTTCATAGTAAGATTAGCGTATTAAACTTTAAATCTGTTCAGTTTTGACTTTTTTTCACTCTTCTACATTTTGTTGATGTTCGAAAGTACCATTGTGTTTGAAACTTTTGTAGAGAGAGCACTTCAATCTATTTTTTTGTTGAATATCTTACTGTTTTGTTGGAAGTAAATGTCGTTTTATAACAATATTTGTAGAGAGTACTGAAGCTTTAAGTAACCAGCTTAGGGTATGATGAGATATCACCCCTTATTTATAAATGAAGATTAGGGTTTACAAGGCATAAAAATGATTACAGACCCTAGTGACTTTCGGCTAATATAATATGCTAAGTGACTTTCGGCGAATATAATATGCCAACACTCCCCCTCAAGCTGGTGCGAAGATATCTCTCATGCCCAGCTTGCCTAATATGTCATGAAATGGTTTATTCCCAATTCCCTTGGTGAGAATGTCAGCAAGTTGTTCACCAGACTGGACAAAAGGAGTATAAATGATACCACTAGTGAGTTTCTCCTTAATGAAGTGGCGATCAATCTCAACATGTTTCGTCCTGTCATGTTGAACTGGATTGTGAGCAA